GGGGACAGGGAGGGGGGGGGATGGAGGAGACGGAGCTCTCCTCCCCCCCCCGCGAGTATCGCGGGTCCCAGTCTTGTAATCTTAAAAACCTCAATCATGTCACCCCTCAGCCGTCGTTACAAGATATTGTAAGGCCTTCAAGGCAGCCTCCTCTCCCATCCCCCCGCATTCCAGTGCTGCAATCTCAACATGTCATGGATATACCACAAATCGCTCCAGGAGCAGATGTTCCTCCTAGTCACGAGAGCTTCAACTCTACTTCCTCAGGCAGTTTCCACCAGGAAGTGGTTGAGACCAGATGTGGAGGGCCTCTTCCTGCATTTAATAATCCTTCTACAGGGGAAGGGTGGTGTCACTTCTGGGGCAGGAGAGAGGTAACCATGGCTGAAATATGAAATCTGAGCATCCCTTACCCTTCCTGCCCTTCTTTTAGGCTGCCTGTTAGTCTGTATTGGTTGTGTGTGTGTGTGTGTGTGTCTGGACCAGTGTTCCCTCTAAGCTGAGTTAGTGTGAGCTAGCTCATAGTTTTTTAGCCTGCGGCTCACGCATTTTTGTCTTAGCTCAGGAAGGACGGCTCCAGGGCAAACTAATTTATGCAGTAGCCAAATCGCTCACTCACAACTTCATTGCCAGTTGCTTATGAAGTCGAATTTTTGCTCACAAGGCTCCACAGCTTAGAGGGAACATTGGTCTGGACTAAGTAAAATGTATTGTGTAGCCATTAGGTATTACAGTTTAAAACAATGTACAAATTAGACAACTTGCAACACTGGAATTTGACTTCGATTTAACTTATAACAACCTCTAAAACTCTGCACATTATTCAGTATTTAAATGAATTAACATCTCAAATATAGACACCCATCTCCAGAAACACACACACAGCCTCAAACACTGCTGTTCTCCATTGCTGTTTTCCAGTTCAATTTCATTTTTATATGTTCTCGGCCCTGATTTTACTAGCCGCTAAGGCGAAGAGTGCTTACCCTATAGGAAACCGTAGGGACGGTGTCTGACAGCAGAACCATTAGTTTTATTGATGTCAGGAAAATTCTGCAATTAATCTGTTATTGCAGTCAAGAATTTACATCTCAGTTCCCAGTACAATGGGCAAGACCATGACATAACCAGGGCTCTTTTTGTAGCAGGTACTCATTTGCATATTAAGCGACGCACCCCTAATGTAGCCAATCCTCCCAGAGCTTACAGTAGCTCCTATTAGAAGAGCTCTGTAAGCTCTTGGAGGATTGGCTACATTAGGGGTGTGTGGCCTAATATGCAAATGAGTCCCTGCTACAAAAAGAGCCCTGTGCGGCGGGAGTCCACGGAAGTTTTACAGATACAAGTACACTGTTCCTGGGGTATTTTTAGTGTGTGTGTGTATGAGAAGATGCTTAATAGACAGATGCTGAAAGTCTTGAGCAGCAGGACTGGTTTTAAAGACCACTGGTCTTGACAGTGGAGTAACCAGGATAGCCACCCAGTGTGATTTCAGTCCGCATCGCCTGCTAGCTCACAGTTTTTTAGCCTCCGGCTCTCACATTTTTGTCTTGGCTCAGGAAGGGACGTCTCCAAAGCAAACTGATCTATGCAGACGCCAAATCACACACTCACAACTTTAATGCCAGTAGCTCTCCAAGTAGAATTTTTGCTCACCAGACTCCACAGCTTAGGGGGAGCATTGGCGGCAACCATTTCCCTCTGCACAATGCAGTAACTTGAGGTTGGGATGAGCGAGCAGGCAGTTGCTCTATGACTTCAAAAGTCATATGTATGTAAGATATAGAGGGGATGCTTATCAAATTTGCAGATGACACGAAGCTGGGTGGGATTGCTAATTCTGAAGAAGACAGTCAGGATTCAAAATGATCTAGATAGGCTGGAACAGTGGGCCGAGACAAATAAAATGAATTTGAATAGAGATAAGTGCAAAGTCCTACACTTAGGTACAAAAAAACCAAAGGCACAGATATAGAATGGGAGGGACTTGGCTTGACAGCAGCACCTGTGAAAGGGATCTGGGTGTTCTGGTTGATCACAAGGTAAACATGAGCCTGCAGTGCGATGTGGCTGTGAAGAAAGCTAATGCAATCTTCGGATGCATGAACAGAAGCATTATGTCCAGATCAAGGGAGGTGGTAGTTCCGCTCTATTCTGCTATGGTCAGGCTTCACCTGGAGTCCTGTGTCCAGTTTTGGGCACCACATTTTAGGAAGGATGTTGATAAGCTCGAACGTGTCCAGAAGAGGGCAACCAGGATGGTGAGAGGGTTGGAATCCAAGTCTTACAAGGAAAGGCTGAAAGAGTTGGATATGTTTAGCCTGGGAAAGAGAAGGCTTAGAGGGGACATGATTGCAGTCTTCAAGTATTTGAAGGGCTGCCATGTAGAAGATGGAGCAGATCTATCCTCTCTTGCTCTGGATTGCAAGACTAGAGCTAATGGGTGGAAATTACAAGGGAGTCATTACCGGCTAAATATCAGGAGAAACTTCCTAATTGTAAGAGTGGTTGAGCAGTGGAACAGTCTGCTTCGGGAGGTGGTGGATGCTCCTTCGCTGGACATTTTCAAGCGGAGGCTGGACGACCATCTTTCGGGTATGTTGTAGGTATGTAGGGCTCTCTTTCGGCTGTGCTCCTGCAGAGTGCAGGGGGTTGGACTAGATGACCTGCAAGGTCCCTTCCAACTCTAACATTCTATGATTCCGTGACTGGCCAAGGGCCAGGGGAGGAAGCTATCTTAGAACACTGGGTCTGGGAGGCTTTTGTTAGCAGTGGGTCCTCGCTTCGGGTCAGGGGTCCCCAACCTTTTGATGCCCGAGGGCACCTTTGGAATTCTGACACAGAGTGGTGGGCGCTGCAACAGAAGGGCTGCCGCGGGAGGCGCCAAGCCAACCGCAAATTGTTAGGGCATGAGGTATGTGTAACTTTAAGAGGCAGAAGAGCTGTTTAACAGGACGGCTTCTAAACGCTTTGTGGATGCTGTGGCGCCCACGTGCACCATGTTGGGGATGTCTGCTGTAGACAGGGGTCATTTAGTAGAAAAAGAGGTGCAGAAGCTCATTAGCATAACTCATTAGCATAACCTGTTTGCATGTGCCACAGCCCCTGACATCACCGGAAGGGTGTCAGAAGGCAACACCCACCGCTCAGGCTCCACTGGACTGTTTTGGATTGCTGGCTGTTGGGGGGGGGAACGTGCAGATCTGTCCTCGCAAAGGAGGGAGAGCTTGTACCCGAATAAAACTTGGTCTTAAAGGTGCCACTGGACTGTTTTGGGTTGGGGGGTGGGTTGGGGGGCTCTGCAACTTACCTGGCTGCTTCTTGCTCTGACTGAGGGCTGCTGGGAGCAGGGGGTGGGGCTTGTTGCATGTGGGCTCTTTACTGCCGGAGCTCTGCTCCTGTGCGCTCCTGCAGGAAATGACCCCTGCTGACAGATATACTGGCCACTTCAGTTGTCTTTGGGAGATGAAAGATATTTTCCATTGCATTCTTCTCTAGTTCGGTCATCATTCCCATACATTGTTTGTATTTGTATTCATTCGCATTGCATTTCTGTAGTCGTGTAATCTGCCTTGAGTCTAAGCGGCAAAGGCAGACTGTAGGTGATTTAAGTAAGTAGGCAGCAGATTCGACATAGGCGGGGCCACGGCTCTAGACACGCTCATCCTTGCAGGCTGAGGTAATGATAAGGTTGGAGACACAAACGCAGAGATACAGACTCAGACCGTTCTGTAGTCAGTTGCCGTGTTCCTTGTGCTGCCGTTTCAGGCCACTCGTGAGTGGTTAAGTGTGTGGGCTCTAATCTGGGAGAACTGGGTTTGATTCCCCACTCCTCCACTTGCACCTGTTGGATGACCTTGGGCAAGCCGTAGTTCTGTCAGAGCTGTCCTTTAATGAGCAGTTCTCAAAAAAGCTCTCTCAGCCCCACTAACCTCACAGGGTGTCTGTTTTGGGGAGGGGAAGGGAAAGGAGTTTGTAAGCCGCTTTGAGACTCCTTTGGGTAGTGAAGGGTGGGGTATAAATCCAATCTCTTCTTCTTAGCATCTGACTGGTATAAAACAAAGACTAAGGGCTAGCATAAATTATGCACAGACTTCCATTTTCACAGCCGTGCTTAAGAGATAACCCGTGTGCATTTGGTGCGTTGAGTGAGTAGCTTGCTACCTTAGGAATTCCACGAAGTTTTGTAGCCTGTGGCATTTTAAGTTATGCTCATGGACAGGAGGGCTCATGATAACTTTTCACCATAAAGTGCTGATTCCGAACTGTCAGAGAACGAGGACTGTCCAGCCATCTGTGTCTATGGTTCTCCTACGGTCTCATTTAAAAAGACAGCAATTACTTATGGGATAATTCAGGGGACGGGGTGTAACGGGAGAGCGACTTTAAGCAGTCTCTCTATTCCATAGCACTGATTTTTATTAGGTTTATATACCGCCCTCCCCAATGGGCTCAGGGCGGTGTACAACATTTAATACACAATTAAAACAATATTAAAATAACAGTTTACACCTAAAACCGTAAGATACCGTATAATTATAAAAATTGTCAGATGACGAATCAAAATCAGGCCACCGATGGACAATTGGCCTGAAGAATTGAGCAGGAAAAGTTGGGGCCAGAGAAGCTGGAGGGAGGAAAAGAGGGACGTCCGCAGCCTCTACCAAATGCCCGGTGGAAGAGCTCCGTCTCGCAGGCCCTGCGGAACTGCAATAAGTCCTGCAGGGCCCTGCTCTCACACGGGAGCTCATTCCACCAGGTGGGGTCCAGGGCCGAAAAAGCCCTGGCCCTGGTCGAGCCAAGTCAGACATCCCTGGGGCCGGGAACCTCTAACAGATGTTGATTTGTGGACCTCGGTGTCCTCCGGGGCTTATATGGGGAGAGGCGGTCTCGTAGGTCATTTGAAATAGTCAACACATGGCTGGTGTGAGGACTTGCCCCTACCCCTTTGAGACCAGGAACACAGTCAATAATTGGTACAGCTTTGGATTACCCTAACAATCCTGCACTAAGATGTCTCCAAGGCAGCAAGACCTGCCTTTTCCCAGCGCTTTGCCTCCAGTTTGCCTGAGTTGCGAAGGCAGTGGGTTGGCCTTGTCTCCCGATCCTCCTCCCGTAGTAGACCCCTGTTAGCTCTGTCACCTTGCCGAAGTCCGCTGCTCCTGAGTTCAGATGGAAGTGTGGCCCTCCCCCCCCCCGTCCGGCTTATTAACTGAGTAGATAATGAGAAGTGTGGTGACAGCCGCAATCCTAACACACTCTTCTCTCTTCCTCCTTCCCCGTCTGCTGACCTGCTTACGTCTTAACCCTGTGTGTGCCGCGCTTGCTGTTTTGCATCTGTTTTTTGGCTCTCTGCGTGTGTGACTGGACCTGCCCGTAGCATCAGGTAGGACAAATCTGGCATCGCGCCCTGTCAGTTCTCGATGGCCGGCTGGTCTCCTTAAGAGCGTTTGCTGGCACAGTCGTCTTCAGAAGCACGGCCCAGCCGGGTGCTTCTTCGCGGCTGGCAGCCCTCTGGCCTTGCGAGTGTGTGAAGGATGGGGAAAGCCCAACACGGCGGTATCGAAACTCGCAGTTCTGCGCAGTTCTTCTGCTGGACACGGAGTTAATTTGCCGTGAACCGCCCTGAGCCCCGTGCAAGCGGGGAAGGGCGGTCAAGAAATCTAATCCAGTAAATAAACTTGGCTGTAACAAATTTTCTTTCCACCCAAGAAGACGGAACTTCAAAGTCTTAAAACTCCAGATGGTTGCACCGTACAAGCTGGCTTTGTGGTCGCTCACGATGACCAGTCAACTGTATTGAATAATTGATGGTATAAATGCATTTGTGATGACAGTAGAGATAAGAATACCTGGGGAGGGGGAATAATTCAGGAAAAGTTTATTATCTGAAGATTCCCCCCCCCCAGGTTTTTTGCAATGAAAAAAATAGGGAACTTTGTAGAGCGCTGATGCCGTGAAATGCATTTTATTTTGAAATGAGTAAAATGTGCTAAGACGGTGTCAGGGTGTAGCAATTAGCAGTTGTCTCTTGCTTGAGTCCTGGGGGTATTTGCAATTTTACTTTTACACCAGTTTGGTGTAGTGGTTCAGAGTGGCGGACTCTAATCTGGGAGAACCGGGTTTGATTCCCCACGCTTCCACGTGCAGCTGCTAGTGTAACCTTGGGTCAGTCACAAGTTCTTTCAGAGCTGTTCTCAAGGGCAGTCCTCGAGAGAGCTCTCTCAGCCCCTGCTACCTCACAGGGTGTCTGTTGTGGGGAGGGGAAGGGAAAGGAGATTGTAAGCCGCTCTGAGACTCCTTCAGCTAGTGAAGGGCAGGGTGTAAAACCAATTTCTTCTCTTCTTCTAGAAGAAGAAGAATCTTGATAATTCCATAAGTAGGCCAAATAGTAGTTTCATGTGGTAACTAAGTTATAAATAGTGCGTCTCATGTTAAAGCGGATTTAGGTTTGATAGGACAGTAAACCTTAGATGTTGGAATTTTTCCCAAAAAAGAAGATCCGCCCCAAGAGCTTCAAGAATTCCGAGAAATTTACATCTCTCGGTAGCAACTACTCGTACTGCTGGACCATCTTGTACTTTAGTGGGGCTGCCTGTGACCCCTTCATTTCCTGAGGAACCGTGTCCTTCCGTTTGTCCTCCAGACGAAAGAAGAACAGTCTCAGATAACCAGCCAGGTGACCGGACAGATCGGCTGGAGACGTGAAGGGATCAAATACCGCCGCAACGAGCTCTTCTTGGACGTGCTGGAAAGCGTGAACCTGCTGATGTCGCCACAAGGTAAACGGGAGCACGGCCGGGCGTGGCACGACCGAGCGTATCTCCTCCCCGTCCCCTTCGTTCTGCAGCGCTGCAGCGTCTCTTCTGCCTTCCAGGACAAGTCTTGAGCGCCCACGTCTCCGGCAGGGTGGTGATGAAGAGCTATCTCAGCGGGATGCCGGAGTGCAAGTTCGGCATGAACGACAAGATTGTGATTGAGAAGCAGGGCAAAGGGACTGCGGACGAAACAGGGAAAAGGTGAGAGCAAGGCGTAGAACGGGGGGGATGCTGAGAAACCAAGGTCACAGAACAAACAGGGAGAGAGAATCACGGAAACACATGCGTCAAAACAGAACAACCGTGGTAACCTGACTTAATTAACAGTTCTTTTTATATTTAAATGAACAGTACATTACATGTTCATTTATTTATCAGATCTTTACCCCGCCCTCCCGGCTGGAGCCGGCTCAGGGCGGCTTACATTAAAGCAGATAGTTACATTCAGGGGTCATTTCGTAGAAAAAGAGGTGCAGGAGCTAATTAGCATAACTTATTTGCATATGCCACACCCCTTGACATCACCGGAAGTGTGTCAGAAGGCGACACCCACCACTCAGGCTCCACTGGACTGTTTTGGATTGCTAGCTATTGGGGGGCACATGCAGATCTGTCCTCACAGAGGAGGGAGAGCTTGTACCTGCATAAAACTTGGTCTTAAAGGTGCCACTGGACTGCTTTTGACCGGGGGGGGGGGCAGGGGGAGCTCTGCAACTTACCTGGCTGCTTCTTGGTCTGACTGAAGGCTGCTGGGAGCAGGGGGTGGGGCTTGTTGCATGTGCCCGTCCCCTGGGCTCTTTACTGCCGGAGCGCCGCTCCTGTGCGCTCCTGCAGGAAATGACCCCTGGTTACATTAAAAACATAATTACAGTTAAAACAAATAATAAAATCATAGCAAAGTGCTAGTGGTTGTTGTTGGCATTCATATGACCGTAGCAGCCAGTAGCCAGTATGCAAAGTTCTTGCTTGGAGTGAGAGCCAGTTTGGTGTAGTGGTTAAGTGCACGGACTCTAATCTGGGAGAACCGGGTTTGATTCCCCCCTCCTCCACTTGCACCTGCTGGATGACCTTGGGCAAGCCGTAGTTCTGATAAGAGCTGTTCTTGAGAAAGAGCCGTTTCTGTCAGAGCTCTCTCAGCCCCACCGACCTCACAGGGTGTCTGTTGTGGGGAGGGGGAGGGAAAGGCGTTTGTAAGCCGCTCTGAGACTCCTTTGGGTAGTGAAGGGCGGGGTATAAATCCAATCTCCTCTTCTTCTTCTTCTCTTCTCTCAGTGTTCATTTTGAATGTCTTGCAGGCCACACTGTTCTCGAGGCTGTTGATGGCAATTTCTAGAGTCCAGGGCCCTCTCACTTTCAACCAACCGATGTTCTTCATTGGTGGCGGCGGCTCCCAAACACCTGGCGGAAGAGCTCCATCTTACAGGCCCTGCGGAACAGTAAAACGTCCCACAGGGCCTCCGGGAGCTCATTCCACCAGGATGGGGCCACCCAAAAAGGCCCTGGGCCTGGTCGTCGACAGCCTAGCCTCCTTGAGATCCGTGAGGGCCAGCAGATTCTAGGCCTCTGACCGCAGTTCTCTCTGTGGAACATGTGGGGAATGGCGGTCCCTTAGGTATGTGGATCCCTGGCCATATAGGGCTTTAAAGGTGAGAACCAGCATCTTGAAACGAATCCGGTATGCTATCGGCAGCCAGTGCAGTGCCTTCAGCACAGGCTGTATGTGCTCCCGCCTAGAGCTGGTGGCATTTTGCACCAGCTGCCGCTTCCGGATTTGAAACAAGGGCAGCCCCATGTAGAGAGCATTACAGTAGTCCAGTCTTGAGGTGACCATCGCGTGGATCACTGTCGCCAGGTCGTTGCGTTCGAGGAAGGAAACCAGCAAAAATTGTACTACAAACGGGAAGGGTGTTCTGTCAGAGCAGCCTTCGTGTTTAAACTTCGGCTATTAATTTGCAAATTATGGTCTTGTATCCTGCTTTGAAAAATCCTTGAAAAATCTTTGGAACACGCTCTTTTCCTGCTTTGAAACAATTCCTGAAACACGGTCTTCACACAGGCTTCTGTGTCAGCAGGACTTGATGTTCCTTTAATTAGGATACACTAATGAGAGGTGAAATGCTCTCCTCTCTAAGAAGACCCTTCCTGTTTTGACGAACTCTCTACACAGAAGGGCTTGAAGTAGAGGCCAGTTTGAAGTAGAGTCAGTTTGGTGCAGAGAGAGTCAGTTTGGTGTAGTGATTAAGTGTGCAGGCTCTAATCTGGGAGAACCAGGTTTGATTCCCCACTTCTCCACTTGCACCTGCTGGATGACCTTGGGCTAGCCATAAGTTCTGTCAGAGCTGTCCTTGAAAAAGAGCAGTTTCTGTCAGAGCTCTCTGAGCCCCACCTGCCTCCCAGGGTGTCTGTTGTGGGAGGGGAAGGGAAAGGAGTCTGTAAGCCGCTCTGAGACTCCTTTGGGTAGTGAAGGCCGGGGTATAAATCCAATCTCTTCTTCTTCCTCCTCTTTCTCTTCCTCCTATTATTGAATCCTGTAAAGGTTTTAAACTGTAGAGAAGAAGACACAAGTTTGTAATACAGTTTTTCACATGTCACATGTAACGCGCTGTTCATTTAGATATAAAAAGAATGGTTAATTAATTAGTTAGGTTATCACGGCTGTTCTCTTTTGAGAAACCAAGTCCTGCAGACCCTGAACTGGTGCTATCAAGCTGTGTGCCGCTCTCAGTGACTTCTTCCTTGACCTCTCTCTTGGGGCTTATTGTGTGAAACACACCGCATCTCTGTTGCTGCTACGGCGGCCCAAGACAGTGGGTGGAAATGAGCGGCAGGCGGCGTTGTCGAATGACCTGTTCAGCTGGGCTCGTTCCCCCCGTTTGTTGAGCAGGGCGTCTTCGTCAGCCCTACTTCCGGGCTGCGACCCTGGAAAGCAACGGGGCCAAGCCGGGTGCCTTCCTCCTCTCCCCTGTTAATCCCCACTACTGCCAGTAAAACGGGAGACTCCGAAGCTGGATTCAGTAGTCCCTGGCTCCCGCGACGGGGTGGGGTGCATCTGTTTGCCCTCTTCTCGGGGGAGAGGGGAGGCAGAGTGGCACAATCCAGCTCGTTCACACGGTAGCTTCGCTTAGGGTTTCATGGCCCCCCATCTCCCAGACGTCCCTCCTTTGAGACGGATTACGTGCGCCGGCTCTCAGCCCCCCCTCCTTCCTTTCTCCATTAACGTGACTGAATTCTTTTTTCTCTTGTGTTCTGCTGACTCCAGTGAAACAGGAAGGTAGATAACAATCCCGCTTAACCGCCGTGTGCACGCACTCCTCACCCCTTCCCCATCTCTTCGCTTTCGTGTGACTTGTGCATGTGCCACCATTTTTCCCCCCTGGACACTTCCACACGGGGTCCCCCCCCTGTGAAGGCTGAGCCGCCACCCGCTAAGCCCACCGAAGACCCTTCCCGCTGGCACGGCAACACACCTGAGCGAGACGGGTGAGGTTCGTAAGGCTTCCAGTAGGGGGCGCGTAGTCCCGGCAAACGGCTGTAGTTGGCTTCTTGCGCAGGCTGAGTAGCAGAACGGCACAGAACGCCCCTATCAAAGTACACAAGCGAGAGGGGGAAGCCGCCTACAAAACTTAAAGGGGGAGACGAATCAAAACGGCGTCGCTTAGAGGCTTCTCCTCCAACCTCAGTTCTAAGAACCCGCGGGGCCTCGCACTGGAGCGGCCAGTGGTCTTCGTTTTTTTCTGAAAACCTTTGGATGAGGGTGTGCTGCGCCACAAGCCAAGTTTAAGTTAGAGCAGTGACGGCTAAGGCCAAGCTGCCTCCCGCATATGTATGGGAAAGAGGCTTCCAGTAGAGCAGGATTACATGGCAGGATGTGCAAAACAGATTACCAAATCCAGTCTCAGTAAAGTTTGGTGTCGTGGTTAAGTGCACAGACTCTGATCTGGGAGAACCAGGTTTGATTCCCCACTCCTCCACATGCAGCTGCTGGATGACCTTGGGCAAGCCGTAGTTCTGATAAGAGCTGTCCTTGAAAAAGAGCAGTTTCTGTCAGAGCTCTATCAGCCCCACCTACCTTACAGGGTGTCTGTTGTGGGGAGGGGAAGTAGTTTGTAAGCCGCTCTGAGACTGCTTTGGGTAGTGAAGGGCAGGGTATAAATCCAATCTCCTCCTCCTCCCACATGAGAGAGCCAAGCCGGTGACGTAGGCTATCGATCCAGTCCTTCAGCTTCCCTTTGAAATAGTTCGGACAGCGCTGACTCTTTGGCTTGGAAACAGAGATGAGCACTGCCCCCTAGAGTCGGATTTGACTAGCTTTCGAGCTTGGTTTTAACCATGTGCCAGTTTGGCGTGGTGGTTACGAGTGTGGACTCTGATCTGGGAGAACCGGGTTTGATTCCCCACTCCTTCACATGCAGCTGCTGGTGTGACCTTGGGTCAGTCACAAGTTCTCTCAGAGATGTTCTCTCAAGGGCCATCCTCAAAAGAGCTCTCTCAGCCCCACCAACCTCACAGGCAATGCTCCCTCTAAGCTGTGGAGTCCTGTGAGCAAAAATTCTACTTTGTGAGCTACTGGCTCTAAAGTTGTGTGCAAGCAATTTGGCTGCTACATACATTAGTTTGCTCTGGAGCCATCCTTCCTGAGGGAAGACAAAAATGTGTGAGCCGGAGGCTAAAAAACTGTAAGCTAGCTCACACCAGCTCATCTTAGAGGGAGCACTGCTCACAGGGTGTCTGTTGTGGGGAGGGGAAGGGAAAGGAGGCTGTCAGCCGCTCTGAGACTCCGAGTGAAGGGCAGGGTATACATCCAATCTCTTCTTTCTCTTCTTCTTTCTTACACGCCCAGATATAGGTAACCCAGGTCACCAAACCCAGTTTGGTGTAGTGGTTAAGTGTGCGGACTCTAATCTGGGAGACACGGGTTTGATTCCCCACTCCTCCACATGCAGCTGCTGGATGACCTTGGGCAAGCCATAGAGCTGTCCTTGAAAGAGCAGTCCTCGAAAGAGCTCTCTCAGCCCCACCGACCTCACCCAGGGTGTCTGTTGTGGAGAGGGGAAGGCAAAGGAGATTGTCAGCCGCTCTGAGACTCCAAGTGAAAGGTGGGGTATAAATCCAATCTCCTCTTCTTCTGCATACGAAGCGAACGGCTTCTGACCTCTCATCTCCGTCTTGGGTGCACAGTTCTCGTCCGAGCAACCCAGCCACCCTTCTCTACTCCGGCACATCCTCCGTGAACGACTCATGTGCTTGGGGGTCTCATTCGCGCACTCCCATTCAACCCTTGTTCTAGGCAAGAGTTGCAGTGGCGTTTTGGCAGGGTTTAGATCATTTCCGGCGCTCTTCCCCCCCCCCCCCCCCGGCCTTTTTCAACCGGAGGGGCCGCAGTGTGTGGCTTTCCAGAGTGTTGGCGGTAGAAGGAAGTGCCCGCAGAGGGTCTCCATCGGGACCAGCGTGCGTTGGCTGGACAGTCTGGGCTTCCGTCCCCCAAATGAACTCAAATCAATCCAACTACCTTTATTGGCATATAACATGCGCAAACTCATATACAGCAATAACAACAGTGTCCTAAAATAATACTACCCCAAAAAAGAAAGATATGAAAGGAATTGCCACATAAATATGCCAGCTATAGAAAACAGATCGATTAAGTAAAAGGCTAATAGAAGTAGCGCCAGAAAGAAATCTCGCAACAGTTTCGGTTATCTCACAATTTGGATGATCAAGAAGAGTAAGGATCCTTAAACCATCAGAATACTCTTCGAATTGAGTCAAAAATAAGGTTTAAGAATTCCAGGCGTAGTGCATAATAGAAGGGGCACTGTAAGTCAGTTTGGTGTAGTGGTTAGCCAGTTTGGTGTAGTGGTTAAGTGCGCGGACTCTAATCTGGGATAACCGGGGTTGATTCCCCACTCCTCCACATTCAGCTGCTGGATGACCTTGGGCAAGCCATAGTTCTGTCAGAGCTGTCCTTGAAAAAAAGCCGTTTCTGTCAGAGCTCTCTCTGCCCCGCCTGCCTCATAGGGTGTCTGTTGCGGGGAGAGGAAGGGAAAGGAGTTTGTAAGCCGCTCTGAGACTCGTTTGGGTAGTGAAGGGCGGGATATAAATCCAACTACTACTACTACTACTACTACTACTACTACTACTACATGGGAGATCATTTCAATCTGACAGTTTGTGCATGGGCAACATCGATCAGAGAAGGACGCACCCTGAAAGCAGCCAGATAACAAGTACATTGACTCTGGCCGTAGAAAGGGCTCTCCGGAGTTTGGGAATATGAAGTTGACAGAGATAAGAGGCAACGTAGCCGACCACCGAATGAGCTGCTGCAGGCAGGGCAGGGGCGAACCTTTGCTTGGTGGCCACTGGCGAACACTGAAATGAAGTCTGTTCCTCCGGCTTGCAGGGGGGGCCGACCTTCCCTGCTGGCAGTGGGGGGAACGGTTGACGTGACACATGCCAGGCCTCCGGCCGGCTGTCCTTTGTCTTTCTCACTTCACGACTCAGCCTGCGATGGCAAACTGCTCTTTGGAGAGTAGCATTGGCCTCCTCCGCTAGCCCAAGCAGTGCCCGCACACTCTCCTCACTCCCAAAGCTTGTCGGAGACGGCGGCTTGCTCTGACTCTGCTTACGCCTCCTTGTGTCCTAGCGGGAAGCAGTCCATCGCCATCGACGACTGCACCTTCCACCAGTGCGTGAGACTCAGCAAGTTCGACTCGGAGAGGAGTATCAGCTTCATACCCCCAGATGGAGAGTTTGAGCTCATGAGGTACGGCCAGTGGGGACGGGTGGCGGACGTTCCGCGGGAGCCACTTCGCAGGGGGCGCGCCGGACATCCGTAGGTTTGGGCAAGGCGGCTGATTGTGAAGGCATGGCACATCCCCCCTCTGTTCTTCAAACTGAAGTGTGTCGAGAGCCAATTTAGTGTAGTGGTTAAGAGCGCAGACTCTGATCTGGGAGAACCGGGTTTGACTCTCCTCTCCTCCACACTCAGCTGCTGGTGTGACCTTGGGTCAGTCACAAGTTCTCTCAGAGCTCTCAGAAGTAGTTCTTGAAAGAGCTCTCTCAGCCCCACCTGCCTGACAGGTGTCTGTTGTGGGGAGGGGAAGGGAAAGGAGATGGTAAGCCACTCTGAGACGCCTTCGGGTAGTGAAGGGCATGGTATAAATCCAGTCCTCCTACTTCTTCTTGCCAGTTTGGTGTCGTGGTTAAGTGCGCGGACTCTAATCTGGGAGAACCCGGTTTGATTCCCCACTCCTCCACTTGCAGCTGTTGGATGACCTTGGGTAAGCCACAGTTCTGTCAGAGCTGTTCTTGAAAAAGAGCAGTTTCTGTCAGAGCTCTCTCAGCCCCACCTCCCTCACAGGTTGCCTGTTGTGGGGAGAGGAAGGGAAAGGAGCCACTCTGAGACTCCTTCGGGTAGTGAAGGGCGGGGTATAAATCCAGTCCTCCTTCTACTTCTTCTAGCCAGTTTGGTGTAGTGGTTAAGTGTGCAGACTCTAATCTGGGAGAACCCGGTTTGATTCCCCACTCCTTCACTTGCACCTGCTGGATGACCTTGGGCGAGTCATAGTTCCATCAGAGCTGTTCTTGAAAAAGAGCAGTGTGTGTCAGAGCTCTCTCAAACCCACCTACCTCACAGGGTGTCTGTTGTGGGGAGGGGAAGGGAAAAGGAGTTTGTAAGCCGCTCTGAGACTCTGAGTGAAGGGCGGGGTAGAAGTCCAATCTCTTCTTCTATTTCTTTTATTCACTCTTGTTCCACAGATACCGAACCACTAAGGACATTATCCTTCCCTTCCGGGTGATCCCCCTGGTGCGGGAGGTCGGCCGGACCAAGCTGGAGGTGAAGGTCGTGATCAAATCCAACTTTAAGCCTTCCCTCCTGGCTCAGAAGATAGAGGTGAGACTGGCAAGGGCACGAGCATAGCCTTCTGTGCCGGTGGGGAGTATGCGCGGCACCTCCCTTCTAGAAACGGGTGCAGCACAGCCGTCTGCGTAGGCCAGGGAAGGTGCGTGTGTCCAGGGACAGGAACAGCATACTGCATGCGCCTTGGCGTTGGATGACGGTGGCTGCCATATTCACTGTACAGTTTGATAAAGACTGTGAGAGGCTTCATTGGTGATGGCTGTGGCCACAGTGGTACGTGAAGTCCCTTTTGAACATAAAGTCCTTTTTTTTTCCCCCTGTCAAGGGAATCTCTGAAGAATGTCCTAGGGTGCAGAGAGTTTGCAAATTTCTCTCCACCTCCCAAAACACTAGAACTCGGCATCCAATAAAGCTGACGGGCAGTAGGTTATATACTTCTTTGTGCAGAGAGTGATAACCTCTATGTACAGGGAGTGATTAAAATGTGGAATTTGCTGCTAGAGGATGTCGTGGCGGCCGTAGGAATAGATAGCTTTAAAAGGTGATTAGATAGATTCTTAGCTCCGTCAGTGGTGATTATATAGAGAACCTCCAAGTTCAGAGGCAGTCAAACTGTGAATCCCAATGCCAGGAGGCAACATCAGGGGAAGGTCTCGGCCTCTAGGCCCTGTTGTTGGCTGTTAAAACGAGGCCCTGTTGTTGGCTGTTAAGACGAACTGGTTGGCCACTGCGGGAGATAGGATACTGGACTCGAGGGACCACTGGTCTGATCCAGCAGGGCTCCTCTTAAGAAGGCCTCGGCCTCTAGGCCCTGTTGTTGGCTGTTAAGACGAACTGGTTGGCTACTGCGGGAGATAGGATACTGGACTCGAAGGACCACTGGTCTGATCCAGCAGGGCTCCTCTTAAGAAGGCCTCGGCCTCTAGGCCCTGTTGTTGGCTGTTAAGACGAACTGGTTGGCTACTGCGGGAGATAGGATACTGGACTCGAAGGACCACTGGTCTGATCCAGCAGGGCTCCTCTTAAGAAGGCCTCGGCCTCTAGGCCCTGTTGTTGGCTGTTAAGACGAACTGGTTGGCCACTACGGGAGATAGGATACTAGACTCGAGGGACCACTGGTCTGATCCAGCAGGGCTCCTCTTAAGAAGGCCTCGGCCTCTAGGCCCTGTTGTTGGCTGTTAAGACGAACTGGTTGGCCTCGGCCTCTATGCCCTGCTGTTGGCCGTCCAGAGGAACTGGTTGGCCACTGTGTGAGGCAGGAGGCCGGGCTAGATGGGGCACCGGTGTGACCCAGCAGGGCCCTTCTGGTGTCCTTATGTCCTTCCATCTCTGGTGGTCCCGCCAAGTTAACCCTGTAGCACCATTCCACTCGACTGAGTTTTCCCATTCAGGCATCCCAGTGAATACGTAAGCATTCTGTTTGTGGATCAGGAGATGGCTTTTCTCACTGGCACCTGCAGCCAAAAAGAATCCACCATTTTGTCTTCTAGGTGCGAATCCCCACACCCCTGAACACTAGTGGCGTACAAGTCATCTGCATGAAAGGGAAGGCGAAATACAAGGCCAGTGAGAATGCCATTGTGTGGAAGTAAGTGGGCTTCTGGCACATCTTCGGCACAGACTTCTTAGTGGGCTCTGCCACGGGCTCCCATGGTCACCAATAGCCTCCATGCCCAGCTTCCAGCTGAGTTGAGCAGTGGAGGGATGTGGTATTGCTTCCGAGTCCAGCGCTCTCTCTCTCTCTCTCTTCCCCTCTTAGGATTAAGCGCATGGCGGGAATGAAGGAATCTCAGATCAGTGCGGAAATAGAACTGCTTCCGACCAATGACAAGAAGAAATGGGCCCGGCCACCCATCTCCATGAACTTTGAGGTAAGGGGGCCTCGGGTTAGCCCAGGCAACTTGGCCCGGGGCTGCTGCAACCGAGGCACGACTTCTGTCTCCCGAAGGGACAAAAGCAACTGGCTGGCAATATTCCTGTGGAGTGAGCAGAGGCATTGTTACTCTCTGTCCTTAATGTGTTTAATTGATGCTTGTTTGGCCTGGAAGGCTGGATAAGAAGTCTTTTGAATCAAATAAATGTCACACACACACACCCTGAAGAGCTGGAGAAATAGTCACAGCCAGTGTTCCCTCTAAGCCGAGTTAGCGTGAGCCAGCTCAGTTCTTTAGCCCTCCGGCTCACACATTTTTGTCTTCGCTCCGGAAGGATGGGCTCTAGAGCCAACTAATTTATGCAGCAACCAAATCGCTCGCTGTGGTGTTTATCCTGGGAAAGAGAAGGCTTAGAGGGGACATGATTGCAGTCTTCAAGTATTTGAAGGGCTGTCATGTAGAAGATGGAGCGGATCTATTCCCTCTTGCTCCGGATTGCAAGACTAGATCTAGTGGGTGGAGATTACAAGGGAGTCGATACCGGCTAAATATCAGGAGAAACTTCCTAACTGTCACAGTGGTGGAACAGTCTGCTTTGGGAGGTGGTGGATGCTCCTTCACTGGGTGTTTTCAAGCGGAGGCTGGATGACCATCTTCCGGGTACGTTGTAGGGTTATCTTTCGGCCATGCTCCTGCAGAGTGCAGGGGGTTGGACTAGATGACCTGCGAGGTCCCTTCCAACTCGAACATTCTATGATTCTAATATCCTTTTTGAGGTGTGGTCTCTAGAATTGCACACAGTATCCCCAATGAGGTCGCACCATCGATTTATGCAGGGGCATGATGACACTGGCTGATTTGTTTCCAGTTCCCTTCCTAATAATCCCCAGCATAGCGTTGGCCTTTTTTATTGCAGTCGCACACGCCCTCTCGACATTTTCAAGAGACGTTCAGAGGTGGTTCTACTGTTGCCTGCTTCTGCGTCGGGACTCTGCCTGGACCTCCTCGGTGGTCCTCCTGATACTAACCTGGGCCTTCGCTTCCGAGATCCGATGAGCTCAAGCTAGCCTGGGCCGTCCACGTCAGGGCTCAACTCCAGCAGTAATATCTGTAGTTACAAAACAGCAGAGTGCAAAGTCAGCAGAGGTTTCGAGTGAGACACTGTGTTTTAAGAATCCAGAATAGGTATTGGACAAGCATGGATACAAACTACTGATACGCCGGCTGCGATCCCGCACACTAAATAATCCCCTTTCAATCTACGTTCTGTGCACTTTCCAACTGGATTTTGCCCGTTCACACAGGTCCTTTCCGCATTTGCCTGCCACTCCCAAGTTTTCTCGGAGCTGCGGTGGCTCAAGTGGTTAAGACGCTGAACTGCAGGCTGCGGAAGGTCGGTAGTTCAGCAGTTCGAGACCCAGTTGCCGCAAGACGGCGTGAGCTCCCGTCTCTAGTTCCAGCTCCTGCCAAGCTAGCAGTTCGAAAGGAAGAAATTGCAAGGAGATAAATAGGTGCCGCTTCGGTGGGAAGGGGACAGCGTTCCGTGCGCCTTGGTGTTTAGTCATGCCGGCCACATGACCATGGAAACGTCTTCGGACAGCGCTGGCTCTTCGGCTTGGAAACGGAGATGAGCACCGCAACCCTAGAGTTGGACTCGACTGGCTTTCGAGCAAGGGAGACCTTTACCTTTACCTTTTACCAGGTTTTCTCAGTGTCCGAGTCGAGGCAATTTAAGTCCATGGCAAAACAGCATCCATATAACCCAGGACAACGACAGGCTGAAACCGGGCCTGACCGCTGAAGGGAAGGAATGTAATGCAGAATGGTGGGGAGGGGGGAACCGCGGGATAAAAAGGTTGGATTCGATTTTAGTGCAGAACGGGAGGGGGGGGACTCTGGATTTTAAAAAAGTTTGAATTCTATTTTAGTGGGGAATTGCTTGGAGGACACCGCAGCGGGCATGGATTGAAAGGAGAGGGCGGAAAGGGTCACAGTAAAATCCAGTTGGAAAGTGCACTGAGTGTGGATTGGAAGTGGATTATTCAGTGTGTGTGACCACAGCCATGTCACTTCTGAACAGCGTTCAATCAATTTCCATCCTCGGGATGTATTATTATCCTGTGTCAGCTACCTGTAGTCTCAGTGAGAGAAGAGTACTGTAAATAGCCTAAATAAGAAATGGCCTCTACAACTTCCAATCACAAACGAAATTATTCAAAAAGTTGCGGCGTGCATCTGGATAATGATTCAGTTAAGACAACCAAGGAATAATGTACATAATTGGAGTGCTGGCAGACTTCTTCCCTAGAAAATATAGAAGTCTGTATCGGTCATTCTTGAGAAATCTGCTGGGATTTTATCTCCCGACGCAAATGGGCTTTAAAAGCAATTTACATTCTGTTCCTCTCCAAAACTGAATATGGAGACCTTTTTCAAACTGGGCTTCCTGTCCTTGCTGGCTGAATCAGAAGCATAAGGAAAAACCATCAGTATTATCTTCAGTACTAGCAGTAAAGCGCGTTGTAAAAGCAATACAGCGAACTCTAGAAAGATGTGATGTGTAACGAATGCATAGGCTGGAAGCAGGTTAAGTACATATTAGCATGTAATAGAAAGGCACAAATGTGGAAGTAAAGTCTCACATACCTTATGTTACACAATCACTGGTGTCCAAGGTCACACGATCTGTGACTGTGGCTTTATTTGTGCTTTGCAGCATACCTTGGGATTTTGGCTTCCTGTTTTGTGTGTGTCTGGTCCCATCCTCTATCGTTGCTTGTGTGTGTATCCACTGGCTTTTTTTGTGATAACTTGGGCTGGTTCCCCCCCCCCCCCCCGCCACGCTGACAGCTGTTTCCTTGGCGGGTTTTTTTCTGTTCTGGAAAGTGTTGCCTCAGAAAACTTGGCTTGGAGGCTAAAGACAGTGGGTTTTGTAACCCTGAGGGAATCAATCGTCGTCTGGCGAGGAGACCAAAGACAGTAGCTGTGTTCACCGGAGCGAAGCAACCGTCTTCTGAGGAAACTTTTGGTGGGCGCCGCTTCTGTGGGCGGGACTGAGGCAACGCAGCCAGTGGATAGGGACAGCTTCTGAGTAACACCTCATGGAGCCAACTGATTTAGGGGCGTGTGGAATGTTCAGAAAGTGCCACCCCACTACTGAATTATATATAAGGAAAGATTACCTTCTTCCCTCCCCCTTCCCTCAATATACGGAGCTGCTTTACCAGTGTAAATTAAGTAATTTTTGTCAAGGAGCTAGAGTGATTGTGAACCAGAGTCGGCCGCTTCTGTGGATAGTTTCTCCAGGATCATGCTTTACTCTGAACACAAAAGAGATGCAGGATTTTAATGTCCCCCTCTCCTCGTTTTCTGCCGTCTCCAGGTCCCATTTGCACCTTCCGGGCTGAAGGTGCGTTACCTGAAAGTGTTTGAGCCAAAGCTGAACTACAGCGACCACGACGTGATCAAATGGGTGAGGTACATCGGCAGGAGCGGGATCTACGAGACGAGATGCTAGCCCTGCGCGACCGCCCGGCTCCCTCGTTTCTCCCCGGCCAGCCTCCCTCGGTCTCAAAGTACAATTGAAGAGCATCTCTCTGGCCCCTCCTCCTCTCTCCAGAGGCCGGAAGCTAGACTCCCGCGGCTCCTCTCTGGACAAAAGGACAGTGCCGCCCGCTCAGGTTTTGGTTCCGATCCGTCACAGCCGAAGCCAGACAGCTCCAAAAGAGCCTGGCCCGGCATTTTGCTTCTGTTCCGGGACCTGAAAAGGGCCGGTCTAGCCACCCACCACCCCCTCTGTGGCCCTCCTAGGGAACGTCCACGTGTAACGAGCCCTCTTCCGTTGGTATCACTACTTGCATCATAGCCCTAGTATTTTTGGGAAGTTCTCGTGCGTATGTACCCGTAGAATAGGTCTGAGAACCATAGACTGGACAAACCTTGAGTTGATTTCCGGCTACTGTACTTGCTTATTGGCTGTTGTGTGGTGGTTTGTTGCTGTGGGGTGGGAGTGGGGTGTGTGCTGTCCCTTTCCCTCCACCGCCCTTCTGTTGTTGTTGTTGTTGTGTTTTTTTCCTACAGCAGCTTTAGCACAGAGTCCTACTTTGGGAAGGTTTGTGACCAAAAAGGCTGAGGGTTGGCTTTTCTCGCTAGAGGTTGGGGAGACGGGACAGCATTTCAAACTCTTTGAAGGGCAGAGGTCCTTACAGCACCGATAGCTGACTAAGCCAGCGCCTTCCTTCTCCACCAATTCAGAAGTTAGACGCCCAAATCTTAAAAAGGAATTTAAAAAGCAAACTAGCAAGCTGACTTAGGGTCAGAGCACCAAGCGCAGGACGTGTTCCCTGCAATCCACAGTCGGTCAGTTAAGTCGCGCGTCTTCTCCTTCCCCGTCCTCGTCCAATCAGCTTACGCTTTTCTCCCGCTGAACGCTTTTTGGTCAATAGAGACGCTTGCTGCGACCCACAATCCTCTGCTTCAATAGCGTGACTCTCCCATTTTGTACACTTGTGATTTGTCCAGTTCTAAACCTAATAAAAGTATGTAGAACCAGCGGGTCGGATTGCTGCCGTTAATTGAAGGGGGGTGGGCTAGGGGCAGAGGCCTCAGCAAGATGGCTACCCCACAACCAGTTAGGGGCTAAGAGAGATGGACTGAAATAGACCTGTGCCACCAATGCGCAGAGCGCCAAACAATGTTGCTCAGTCTTGCACTGCACACCAATGACTCTGCAACAAGAGGGCAGAGGTACTGATGCTGTTGCATCAAGAGCCATAATCAGATCCATGTACACATCTCTTACTCTGTAGTGTTTTGCACATACTCAAGGCTTGCAAACTGAGTAGAGCTTATTTGCTGTCTCCCATGGGGTTTGCTGTCTCCCACGGGGGATGCCAGAGAAGCCTCACTGTATGACCTCAAAGAATTGCAAATGTCAGACTCTTGTGCAAACTTCAGCCTCAACAACATACTTTTTTCAGTGATTTGCTTATTGAGATACAGTGATGCTACAAGCTAAGACGCTTTTGTGTCAGAACTGCTGAAACAGGCGCCAACCTGAAAGTTATACCCCATTCAAACAGCTCCCCCCCCCCCCCAAACCCCCCCCAAATCCGGGCCTGGCCAGTCACACAATTCATTCAGCCCACCTAAATAAGTGCACTTTCACACCCACCCACCTGTAAACCTACAAATCCTTATCTAAGGCCTGCGAGCACAGACGGACACCAAGATGATTTAGTCTCTTCCCAGCATATGGAAGGCACCCTTAAGAAAACAGTTACTAAGCAATGAAGCTAAGCACTTATTTGCTGTCTCCCATGGGGGATGTCAGAGAAGCCTCACCGTGTGACCTCAAAGAATTGCAAATGACAGACTCTTGTGCAAACTTCAGTCTCAACAACACTCTCTTTTCAGTGATTTGTTTATTGAGATACAGTGACGCTACAAGCTAAGACGCTTTTGTGTCAGAACTGCTGAAACAGGCGCCAACCTGAAAGTTATACCCCATTCAAACAGCTCCCCCCCCCCCCCAAACCCGGCCCCGCCCAACCCACAAATTCATTCAGCCCACCTAAATAAGTGCACTTTCACACCCCACCCACCTGTGAACCTACAATTCCTTATCTAAGGCCTGCAAGCACAGACAGACACCAAGGTGCTTTAGTGTCTTCCCAGCATATGGAAGGCACCCTTAAGAAAACAGTTACTAAGCAATGAAGCTAAGCAGGCACACACATACTCTCGCACATTCCCCCCCAACATCCCAAATGCAGAATTACAGAGGAGCTGCAGTGGCTCAAGTGGTTAAGACGCTGAACTGCAGGCTGTGGAAGTTCAGTAGTTCAACGGTTCAAGACCCGAGTGTGCTGCATGACGGAGTGAGCTCCCATTTCTAGTTCCAGCTCGGCAGAGCTGATTCGGATCAGGCCCTCTGGTCACCACTGGTGGACCCTTCCTCCACAACCTTGTCCAATCCCCTTCTGAAGCTTGTGGCCATCACTACATCCTCCGGTAGCGAGTTCCATATTTTAATTGCTTGTCGAGTAAATAAGAGCTTTCGCAAACTGACGTTTTCTTCGTTGACTGAAATGCGACTTGTTTTAGAACGGATTCCGTCTGCCCTTGTGCACTTTGGGTTTCGGGGGAAGGAGTGCTACCTTGTGAAGGCGGCGTTAACATCCTAACGTAGGGGTCCCCGACCTTTTTGAGCCTGCAGTACCTTTGGAATTCTGACACTGGATGGTAGGCAGAGCCAACCACAAAGTCTCCCAATAGTAGCTCCCCGACAGCTCAGTAGGGTCACCAGGTCCCCTCGTCGCTCCAGTGGGGGGGGTTGGGGGGGCATTACCCAAAAGTGATGTCATTGGGTCGGGGGTCAGGGGTGCTCTGGTATTTGGGCAAAGCGGTTTTCTTCCTGCCCTCAAACCATCAAGTTTGCCCGAATACCAGAGCGTCCCTGCGCGATGTCCCTTCTGCGTGACGTCACCGCGTTGGCGTTATGCAGCCATGTCCCTGTTTAGGGGTGGGGCTTCCCCTGCCAGCCTGCAGTGGGGAGAAGCCCCTTAACCAGGGGATCCCCGACCCAGGCCCGGGGGCTGCCAAGCCTACATCTCAAGTAAAGACAACAACGGCGTCGAAGAGCTGCTGGGTTCGATGAAGAAACTCCAAAAATGGTCTGCCTGTCAAAGACTCCTAAACGTTATGTAAGTTATACCAATAAAAATTAACAACTGAAGCTTCTATTGAAAATAATACAACACTTTGGTAAAGAATAACATCAATACTATTAAATTCACAAGTTACAGGACACCAGTTGCCAACTAATCCAATAGGATGTAGTTCATCAAATAAAGAAATAGCTAGAACAGCCTATAAACACATTCAGAATAATTACATAAAGACAATGATTGTTGGCGACTGGTATCCTGTAACTTGTGAATTTATTAGTATCAATGTTATTATTTACTAAAGTGTTTTTATTTTATTTTCCTTTTTAACACTTTATTTTTCATTGTTTCCGTCTAATTACAAACATTTCATTATCTCCGATGACATAGATTTTTAGAGTCATTACATCCAATTACATGTCTTATTAAAGTGTTGTTATTTCCAATAGAAGTTTCAGTTGTTAATTTTTATTGGTGTAACTCTCATAACGTCTGGGAGACTTTGGCAGGCAGCCCATTTTCGAAGCCTACATCTCAGGCAGGAGCAGTTGAGCAAGGTGCATCTTAAAATGAACCTGTTGCTGAGAAACCTTGCATGTGCACAGCTTATCTTCAAGCGTACGCGGAAGGACTCTGTGCTGTGGTGGCAGCGGCTTCAAAATCTGCACAGCCAATCAGAAGACCTGCTGGGCAACAGCCCTTGTGTGGCCCCTCCCACTTTCCAAAGACACTCAGGAGGCACCAGGAAAGGTGTCTGTGGGCACCCTGTTGGGGAACCCTGTCCTACTGCATGCACTTCAGCCTCATACAGACTCTGGAAGAAGAAGAAGGAGACTGGATTTATACCCCGTGCCCTTCACCCGGAGTCTCAGAGCAGCTTACAAACTCCTTTCCCTTCCCCTCCCCACAACAGACACCCTGTGAGGCAGGTGGGGCTGAGAGAGCTCTTTTCAGAAATGCCCTTGAGAGAACAGCTCTGAGAGAACTTGTGACTGACCCAAGGTCACACCAGCGGCTGCAAGTGGAGGAGTGGGGAATCAAACCCGGTTCTCCCAGATTAGAGTCCGTGCTCCTAACCACTACACCAAACTGGAGGAAACAGGCGTGGCGAGCAAGCTTTCAGCAGTACCTCAAGAGGCAGATTCTGACCTAATGTTGCTGTTGTGACCCTTCTTCAGTTCATGCTTTCTATGTTCCTCAAACATTTTGACAGAATGGGGGGGGGGAGTGCCCTTGTGGCTTCTGGGAAGCAAGGAGAGCATAGAGACAGCTGGTAAGTAGACCAGCAGCTACCCCAACAATGGTAGAACCACCCCAGGGCAACTGGTCTTTGTTGCCCCCCATGATGACCCACTATTAGGTTTCAAATATGACAAACAGAACCATCTTTAATACGCTTGCTATAGCCGCTTCAGAGCCCTCTTCACCCACCGTTGGAGGTCCTTTGGAAGAAACCCCAGCTTTGCAGAGTGTTTGGACCTGGGCTAGTGTAAGAGTCCTCCTGGCCCACTCAGAGAAGGCTCTTTCAGGGGGCTGGTGCCACAACCAAGAGAAGAAGAACAGATTGGATTTAGACCCCTTCCTTCACTACCCGGAGGAGTCTCAGAGCGGCTTGCAGTCACTTTCCCCTTCCCCTCCCCACAACAGACACCCTGCGAGTTTGGTGGGGCCGAGAGAGCTCTTTCGAGGACTGCCCTTGAGAGGACAGCTCTGAGAGAACTTGTGACTCACCCAAGGTCACACCAGCGGCTGCACGTGGAGGAGCGGGGAATCACACCCGGTTCTCCCAGATTAGAGTCCGCACTCCCAACCACTACACCAAACTGGCCCAAGATTGAGGTGTGGCAGATATAACTGAGTGGGAGGTTTCTGGGAAGCTCTCAAATGGTACACAGGTTCCTAACAGGAGGTTATCATCGTCATTATTATTATTTTCCATTTTTATACCTCCCATTCCCTGAAGGAGGGCTCAGGGTGGTATACGACGACACACTAGAACAACATACACATTTAAAAACATTTAAAAGCTACAATAAAATTCTAATATCGATTCGAAATTGAACAGATGGCGGTTGAAGTTTGCAGTTGTGTTACCACCTTGCGGGGGAGGGGGGGAGTGCCTGCTAGATGGATGCTGTCACGGCTCGGGTGGGGTGTCACCTGACGCTGCCACCACTCTGGTTTTAGGATCTCTTGAGAAGGCCCAGAGCAGCCTCCCAAGACCTTCAGATCTCCCTTATTTGGCCGAATAATAGATGTGAGGACCAGGCAGAGTAAACAACAAAGAAAAGGTTTATTTTTACAGGTCAGTCAAATATAGGAAACAATAAGGTGCAACAGAGGAGCTGCGGTGGCTCAAGTGGTTAAGACGCTGAACTGCAGGCTGTGGAAGGTCGGTAGTTCAGCAGTTTGACCCGAGTGCCGCATGACGGGGTGAGCTCCCGTCTCTAGTTCCAGCTCCTGCCAACCTAGCAGTTTGAAAGCAAGAAATGGCAAGTAGATAAATAGGTACCACTTCGGTGGGAAGGTAACAGCGTTCTGTGCACCTTGGTGTTTAGTCATGCCGGCCACATGACCACGGAAACATCTTCGGACAGCGCTGGCTCTTCGGCTTTGAAACGGAGATGACCACCGCAACCCTAGAGTCGGACTCGACTGGCTTTCGAGCAAGGGAACCTTTACCTTTAAGGTGCAACAACCAGGGCTATTTTTGGGCAGGAACGCACAGGAATGGCGTTCCGGCTGGCTCCCAAGTTGGCCACGCCCAGCAGGAACCCGTTAGCATAATAGGCCACACCCAACAGCAGAAACTCATTAGGATTGGCTACAATTAGGGGTGTGTGGCCTAACATGCAAAAAGCCCTGGGTTTTGACAACAA